GCTGATGTCGCTGCTGCTGATGGTTCTGATGCTGATGCTGATGATGACGATGATACTGATGGTGAGGATGATTCTGGTGATGAGGATGATGACGACGACGATGATGATGATGGTGGTGCTAATGATGATGATGCTGCTGCAGATGCCGGTGATGATGATGGTCATATTGATACGGATGCTAATGCTGATGCTGCTGATGACAATGACAATGATGATGATCTGACGATGCTGATGCTGATGCTGATGTTGATGATGCTGATGATGATGATGATGATGCTGCTGCTGATGGTGGTGGTGGTGGTGATGATGATGATGATGATGATGCTGATGATGATGATGATGATGATGATGATGATGATGATGATGATGATGATGATGATGATGATGATGATGATGATGATGATGATGATGATGATGATCGGGTAAGGTCTGGGAGCGGTGCTCGGCGCAGCCGTCATAAATTATCGTGCACACCCGCGGAGCCCTCGGGCCCCACCGAGGAGGGGAGGCGGGGGAGGGGAGCGCTGTGTAGCGCTCAGCGGCACGGGCCTCCCGCCTCCGCGCCGCGCCCTTGCGAGCGGCTGCGCGGGCGCCTCAGCGGCTCGGGGCGGCCGCCCCCGATCTCGGCGCCAGCGCTCCACCTCGTGGGGTGCCGCCCCTTCCGCATCCTCCTCAGCGCGGCGGCCTGGCGAGCGCTGGCCCCGCCCGCGCACGGGCCGCGGAGCGAGACCACGCGGGCGCCGTCCGCGCAGCAACCGCACACCGCGCAGTAGACGAGGCGGCGCGGCCCTTCGCCTATCGTCCAGCGGCGGTGCGACTCGTCGAATCTCACGTTCCACCAGCGCGGGCGCGCGCCCGCGGCCTCGGCGCCTGCTGCCTCGCTGCTCTCTCCGCCGGCCTCCTGGCCAGGGGCCTGGCGCTTCCGCCCCGCCGTCTGGGGCCCAGGCGGCCCACCAGTGGCGCTCCCCGCCTCGGCTGCCGCTGGCCCACATGGGACGGGTGTGCTGTCCGATCGGCCCGCGCAGGCGTCGCAGAGCCAGCGAATCCCGTTCGCGTCTGAGACGGCCGTGCCGTGCGCGCCGCAGGGCCAGCGTCTGCAGCCAGGCCCGCCGTCGCGGCAGCGTGCGGCGCCCCGCCGCCCGCATCCGCGCCCGCAGCAGGTAAACTCCGCCGCGCCCGCGTCCGAGCCGTCGTCCGCCGCGTGGGCAGCTCTCCCCAGCTGCAACGCCTCGCCGAGCCAGCGGGCCGTCGCCACCGCGATCGCGTCGGCCAGCTGGATGCGCTCCACTGCCGCCTCGCTCGTGGGGTGGAGCTCCGCGCCCTTTTTGGCGAAGCCGTCCGCGGCGCGGTTTCCCTCGTAGTCGTCCATCCTGGTGTGGCCGTCGCCGACCGAGCGGTGCGTGGCGTGCCCCTTCCACCTTTGTGACCCGCACGCGCTGCTCGCGGCCTGCACACCTCCAGGTACGGGCGGTCCCATGCGCAGCACCAGGCCTTGCCCGCGGCGAAGCCCGTCACGAGCAGCTTGCAGTCCGTTCTGATCTCGAGGATGCCGTCCGCGGCTGGCAGGCCCCGGCGCAGGGCGCGGGCGGCAGCCAGGATCTCGCCCGCGTTCGCGTCCTGCGGCAGGTGGGCGGGGACGCGGCCCCAGGCACCGTGCGCTGCCCCGCGGACCTGCGGCTCCGCGAGCCCCCAGCCAGCGTGCACCTCGGGCGATTCCGCCTTGTCGTGCATCGCCGAGCCATCGGTGTGCAGGACGCTGGCGCCCGCCAAGGCCGCGTAGCCGTGGCCGCTGTTCCACCGCGCGTCCTCGGTCTCCAGCGGCAGCGGGAGGGCGGCCACCTGGTCGGGGATGAGCGCCCTCGAGTAGCGGGGGTCCTCGCTCTCGGACGCCTCGGCCACGTCGACGAAAGCCTGCAGCACCTAGTCGCCCGCGATGGCGTCGCGTCTCTCCGTTGCAAGGGCGGGGCAACTCCAGGCGAGGTGCCGCGACGTGCCGCGGCCGCCGCACCCCGCGGGGCAGGCCCCCGAGCGGAGCAGCGTCGGGTCGAGGGCGGCTCGGCGGGCCACGGCCCAGAGCCCGCCGAGAGCCGCGTTGCGGGCGCTGGACCACCGCGCCCGCTGCTCGGGGGGCGCCTTGGTGGCGAGCAGCCGCCGTCGGAGGCCGCGGGCGGCCGCGCCGCTGGCCGCGTGCTCGAGGTCTGCGTCGCGAGCCGCGGCCTCGCGCCAGAGCCACCGCTGGTGCGAGTCGCGGATGTGCCTGCGGAGCGCGTGGCCGCCGACCCCGCCGGGGTGCTTTAATATCTACCCGATCGAGCTGAGATTAAGACGTCGAGCGGGAATAAGATCGAAGATCGCGGGACAAATACTAGAGCTCTAACGAATGGTTGAATTTTGAGAACAAAATTTTCAACCGACCAAAAGTCACGAAAAGGTCCCTCGAGATTTTTCTTGCCAACAGCTGTCCAGCGCCCCGGAATTACTCTTAAGCTTCCAGCAACTAGCTGAGGAAAGCTCTACGAGTTACGGGGGCCCGGGTTTTGGAGCGCAGTTTCTCACGGAGAATATTTGGGATGCTGCGGAGCGTCGCGTTCGCAAAGTCTCTGTGCCGGTCCGGTGGGGCGTCCGCGGTCCAGAGGTGCATCGCCGTGGCACTCCAGCCCAGCAGTCCGAGCGCGAGCAGCGCCGCTGCCGCGGGGCCGCGCCCCGCCAGGGCGCTGGGCTCCTGCTCGAGGCCCGGGGGCGCCTGCTCGGCTTGCGAGCGCCAGGGGCCTCGCCTGGGCGGCGGCCAGCGCGAAGCCCACTGCGGCGAGCGGCCCCGCGCGCTGCCGAAGGCGAGGGGCCCGGCCGCCGACCGCCGCTGCTTGATCTCGGTCGCGGTCCAGGCCTGCGAGCTGCAGCCGTGGGCCGTCGTCGGGAGGGGGCCGCCCGCATTCAGGCGCATGGCCGCTCTGATGGACTGGCGTCGCGCGCCCGCCGCCCGCCCGAGCTGCTCGCGGGCCTTGGCGCGCCGCTTCCTCGCCGCCCCCGCAGTTGATGTGTAGTCGTCCTCCCGAGATAAGGGGGGGGGAAGCATGAGTGCCCAGTATGTAGCGAGGTGCGTATATGACAGAGCGGCGTGATCGCCGCTTTGGCTCAAGCCATTCAGTGAGCAGCCTCGCCCGAGTGCGAATCCTGTTTGCGGCGGCAAGCCCCTCCTCCCCATCATTCCATATCAGATAATCCAGATTATCAGAGTCACGACGATCCTCGTGGTCCTCTCCCTCTTCGTGGCCCTCAGGGCCAACAGGGCTCTCAGGACCGGCGCGCTGGGAGTGCCAGTATCACCGCTATCGGCGGGCGCGCTGATAGACGACGACGGCGGCGAACCTCTGGAGGCGTTGTCCCAGGAGGAGGAGCGAGAGGAAAACAACTTGGTAGCGGAGCAGGTGCGATCCCGTGCCTGCTCCCAGGACAACATGCCACTGCGCTACCACGACTACGTCATGGCGAACGCCCCGCAGATGAACGGTGGCATACCAGCTGGACCTCATATCATGCAGTCCAATGCGAAGACGCCACCGAGCTGGGACCCCGCAAGGGAGTCCTCATATCCACTCAGAGTTTGGATCGCGGACATCCGCATGTGGGAAGCTATGACAGATATACCGGCACGCTCGATCGCTCCGGCCGTGGTCTTGCAGCTATCAGGATTGGCCAGAGAGATATCGAGAGAAGTGCCGCCAGATCAATTACAAGACGGAGTTTACATGGACCTCCGTGACGGAGCTGGACATCGATGGTGTTCGGGGCTGGACCTACTGATTCATGGGCTGCGACGCAAGTTCATGCCACTGGAGGTGGAGACCGCTATCGCGAGCATGACGGACCTGGTTGCTTTTCGTCGACGGCCAGGCGAACCGATTGACCAGGCTTTGGCTCGATTCGATCTTCTGAAGTTCAAGGCTGAGCATCTGGGAAATTTCCACATGGGAATTCCGAATTTGGCTTGGATGTTACTCAATGCTCTGGGTATTCCACCGCCACAGTGGGCTCAATTTCTGGCACCAACGGGAGGTAACTTACCAACGAATGAACAGGAGCTTTCAAGTCTTACCTCTTCTATCAGGCGTCAGAATCATCTTTACGAACGGAGTGGACTTGCGCAGGCAGCTCATCAATCCAGGCATCAGCATTTCACAAACCCCACAGGCTCCGGTGACTGTTTCTACTTCACGGACAGTTCACAGGACACGGGCACCCAAGTGGGAGTACCACCGCCACCGATGCCCTACTACCCCAGCGCATCGTCCTCGTCGAGGTCAGGTGTGCCACTCGGCGGAGTTGCTGGGGTATCGAATGGATCAAATGCAGAAGGATGCTGGTGCAGCAATTGCCATAATATATTCTACGACCGGGAAGACCCGGACTCCACCGAGACGAGCGATGATGACGGCAACGATTTGGCGGAGTCGACCTTCGACATCAGTGCCCAGATGAGCGACGGCGATCTGTATGAAGTATACGCTTTGGCCAAGAAGCACTGGAGGAGGCGAGCGGACAGACTTCCAAGGCGTCGTAGATACAAAGGCAAAGGCAAGGGCAAGAAAGGGGTCAGATTTCAGAGAAGTAGTGGATGGTCTTTTCTTTCTGAAGCGGGAGACGGAGCTCTTTGCCCCGGGTGCACGTGGAACACCCATGAATACTACAAGGGCAAGGGCAAGGGCGAGAAGACCAACCCGAGAGGCGCGAACGGACAACCACTTCGATGTGACCACTGCAACAGCGAGAAGCATCTATGGAGGAAGTGTGACGCTCCGGGAGCTGACGATTACCGACGAAAGCGGGCTACCTCAGGAGGAAAGGGTTATGTGACGACAGAAGGAAATATGAGTACAGGAGGAGCCCAACCAGCTTCAAGTTTCTCCAGCGCGCTGCAGCACTGGCAGCAACTCACGGGCCAACCGGCAGCGTCAACGGCGACCAGACATTTCTTCGCCATGCCGAGCAACATGGAGTCACAGGTGGACGTGTCCAAGGATGACGAGAAGGAGTACGAGGACAGCTACTACCCGGACGTGGAGGAGGAAGGCTCGCGCCTGTGCGAGTCGCATGCACGGCCAGACCTTCAGGAGGGGGTCCGCCGTGACTGTGCTTCATCCGCATCCTGGGATATGCTATCGACTCCCTCGGAGTTCGTGGACATCGGCAACGAGACGATTCAGATGATTGAACAGGCGAAGGCTCGGATCATAGATGACCCGGACACGGAGGCAACTCTTGGAGAACCTCGGTCCAACGACGAGCAGATCGACTCAGAAACCAAGCCCGCTGGATTGAAGTGGTTTGTGGGGCCGGTGTTCGAGCGATACGATGAGACACGACAGGTATTTCTAGAGGCGACACGAATTGATGGTAAGGAGTGCCTACTGATAGATCCAGGTGCGTATGACAATTTGGTGGGTGACAGATGGGTTATGCGAATGGGAGCTCGGGCGAAACGGGCATGTCTGGAACCGACGCAACGTCTGATGGATCAATCAATCGGGGTTGAAGGAGTCGGTGCCAATGCTCAGGTCGCCAAGGAGGAGGTGACGATGCCAGGCGCAGCCAAGGACGAACGAGGCAAGGTGCATCAGATAAGCTACAAGGCCCCAGTGGTTCCCGATTCCGATATTCCCGCTCTCTGGGGAAAGCGTAGTCTGAAGCACAACAGGGCGGTGGTCGACATGATCAACAACAAATTGTACCTGTGTGGCCCTGGAAGAGTACAGTTCACACCACCGTCGGGGGCGCTCACCTTCAATCTAGAGGACTCGCGATCAGGACATCTGCTGTTGCCTATCTCGCATTTCTTCGGCAACGGTAAGGACAAGAAGGTGCGCGCGAAGCAGGGGCCGGCCACCTGGCATGCGAGTGCGCCGGCGATCGTCAAGCCCATGATCAAGGATAAGGCGAAGGAGGACGAGGCAGACACGCCGACGCATGAGCCGTCACCGGCCACTCCCTCGGCGCCTGCGGTGCACTGAGGGTGCGGACCGCCGCTACCAAGCGGCGGCGGTGCCGCAGGAAGCCATATAGCTTGGCATCTGGACGTCCCCGAGCAGGACCCTGAGATCATAGTGATAGACGAGGACAATGGCCATCCGATCCGCACGAAGCTGCTGAGTCAGGCCAACATCACCTACACCCGCCTAAGTCTTCTGCACACCTCGACCATGGAGCATATTCTCCGACTCTTGGAGCGAGGGAAGTGTCGAGGTGTTTGGATGCGACTGCATTCTCTCATACCTGACGTTACGAGACGACAAGGGAAGACCCGAAAACAAAGACAAATATTGATGGCGACCTCCATACTCATCGCGCGCTCGATTCAGCTTCGGTGCGTGCTGGTGGTCCATTCTCAAGCTACGAATGAGGCCTGGCAGGAGGATGATATTCTCAGAGCGACGGCAACGACGCTGCCAGGATATCGGATGACAGATCATCGATGGTGCAGCTACTTAACGTCGGGCAAAGACATGGCCCCGACGACCAGCCAGAGATACTTTTCCAACCTGGACCTGCTTCCCGACTCGTGCAGCTGTGGTCGGAAGATCTCAGATCACCGCAGATCGACAGGGTTGGAACACGTTCAGCTTGAAGGTCAGTTTATGACCGTATTTTGGCAGAACCGACTTCGAGACAAGCTATTCGATGCGGTTCGAGGAGAAGTACGTGACGACAAGGACACGGATCGAGATGCACGATATCCGCAGACGGGACCGGATGAGCCCGTTGACTCCCGCATGGTGGTAACGAAGTCGAAGACGGTCAGCTTCTATCCGACCGACTCTGCCAAGGCCTACAAAGAGAAGCTGAAGTCCAGGAAGGCAGAGGGACACGAACCGAAGAAGAAGGTCAAGGAGATTCTAGGTCCCGAAGTCATGGATGACTGTGGCGAGGACCTCGGAGAGCTCAACTACCTACGGAACGAGGAGGTGTGCTGGTGGGAGATGCCGAACAACGAAGTGGAGGATTACTATCTGGCACCTAGCGAGTTCAAGACGGATGATATCATCGGAAGACTTCGAGATGACCGTCCGCCAGAGCGAGAACGACACTTCCTTGGCATCCCATCGGGTCGATCCTTCCTGAATCACATAAAGCAGACCGAGAATAGTTTCTTCGTTGATGTGGCCGAAATCATGGGAGGAGAAGGACGCACCACTCAACTACTCGTTCGACGACATTACGCGGGAGGTCGTAACTTTGATGCTCTCATGGGCGTAGATCTTCTCCAGCGTGACGAGGAAATGGAGCTCTACCAATATCTGAAGGAGGAGCGACCCTTTGTGTTGGTGATGGCTCCTCAATGTACTGGCACAGCTGGATGGTGCACGGTCAACGAGTCGATCGGCAGCGAGGTGCACCGTCGCAATGCGGAGGTCTCTTTCAGGCTAGGACAGATTTGCGCGAAGGCGGCTCACATTCAGCTGGACGGAGGACGCCACTACGTCAATGAGTTGCCGAGGGGAAGCCGTATTTATCGAACTCCAGAATGGATGGGTCTGGCGCGGAAGAATCTTATTTGGGTTCAGCTCAACATGTGTATGCTGGGACTCGTCAACTCGAAGAAGGAGCCCTTGAACAAGCCGGAGGAGGTGCTGATCTATCGGCTGCGTTCCAAGGAGTGTGATCGACAGCACCGGCATGGGGAATGCTCTGGACGTGACACCAAGCCTTCACAGGTATGGACATGGCAATTCGCTCGTATCTTGGCCGATGGCATCTCAGAGTTGATATGGCTTCACGAATTGGACTTGAGGAAGCTGATCTACCCAGCCGTGGCGGCGTACCCGAGGATGAACGGCGAAGGAGTACCCGCTCCTATTGACCATCCTCCACCTGGACTACCAGCCCCCGCAGCAGCGGCAGCGGCAGCAGATGTACCTCCGCCACCACCCGCGCCCGAAGAAGGGTTGGATCCGCGTGCTCGCAGGGCAGCGATCGGACCTCATCTCTGTCCCGGATGTCGGAGAAATCGAGTCAGCACACATCCGACACACAACCGCATCCCTGGACAGTGTCGACATCCGCTGGTACAGCCGCTGGAGTACAACTGCCCCGCGTGCAGAACGGGTCGGGATCGGCACGACCCCCGCCACGCTTTCGACACAGACTGTCGCCTCCTCATGGACGAGCCCAGAATGATTGGGACGAGAAGATCGGGATCCGCTCATGCGCGGGATCCGCGAGTACCGGCAGCACGAGCTGCGGGTGCTGGTCATCGAGTACATCCCCGAGCAGGAGAAGAAGAGGAGGACGCAGCACCACATCCTGAAGCCGGACCCTCAGGTGCTGCTCCTGCCGCAGCTATGGAAGGCGATGATGACGTACAACCTCATCCTGAAGCTGGACCCTCTGGAGCGGCCCCGGACGCAGTAGCGGAGGAAGCCATTCTTCCTGCGGGAGAACCAGGACCTCCGGCCAGGGCAAGCGGAGACGAGGTGGCACTGAGAAGACGCAGATTTCAGGATGCTATGGCCCAGATCGACACAGGAGCGGACTGGACGCAGTGGGACATGGGACGTGCTATTCAGGGGCTGAGATCAGCGGTTCCTGGAATGGTGCAACGTACTCTACGTCGCATGCATATACGACTATGACACGCTCCGGCCCAACGACTACGGGATCTTCTTTCGGCCGCGGGTCTACCGCGAGAAGTGATCAATCTGGTGCAGGACGTCGTGGACACTTGCACCGTCTGTCGGGAATGGCAGCGACGAGGCGAAAAGTCGGTGACAAGTTTGACGTTCACCACGACCTTCAATGAAGGAATTCAGTTTGATCTGCTTTTCCTGGACGACGGTATCGTGGTGCACTTGATCGATATGTGTATCAGGTGGGCTCAAGGGCTCTTTGTGAAGTCAAAGGAGCCGGGTGATGCTCTCCCGGCCATCACTCATATTTGGTTCCGAGTCCACGGTCCTCCGAAGTTCATCACCTCGGACCAGGAGGGAGCATTGTTCTCGGATGAAGGAGCTATTTGGGCAGATCGGTGGAAGGTGGACTTGAGACCGAAGCCCAAAGGAGCACATGCTCATGTTATTGAACGGAGGAACGACTTACTTCGGACACAGTATCACCGAGTTCGAAGTCAAGCAAATGAAGAAGGCATCCGAGTTTCGAAGGAAGAGTTGCTGGACGAATCCTTGTTGGCCATGAATACCCTCTTGAGCGTTCACGGGACCACACCATACGCGGCTTTGTATGGTCGGGTTCCGAACATTTTACTGGAGCTCGGAGGGGGAGGATCTGAGTTCGACGACGAGTCTGGAGGCGCAGTGTCTCGTCATGTCCATCGAGTCAGGGAGTTGGCCCTGGCCAACATCGTGCAGGGCAACGCGCAGGAAAGGCTGAAGATAGCGGCTCGAACGCGAACGAGACCAGCGGCTCAGCTCGGAGATCTTCGTGTATGGGGACTCGGTCGATATCTTCCGGGACCCGCCGAACAAGGATGTCACTGGCTGGCGAGGACCCTGCAAGGTAGTTGCCATGGATCGAGCTGATGAGGGCATCATCGATGTACGATGGCAGGGTCGCACGCTGCCGTGCCGCCCAGCCGATGTTCGCAAGGCAGTGACATGGTTGACTCTCATGGCGGCTCCTGGCCGCGGTGACACCAAGCCGTACCAGCTCTTAGTATACTACGTGGAGAACATGGCGGCGGGCACTACGTTACTCCTGGGATATGAGATCGGCGAGGATGGACACTGGAGGATGACGAAGACCAGTCGTCGGCTGTCGACTCTGACGACGGCAGCTTTCCACGTGGCCGCCTGCGACTTTCAACTATATGGAGTCGTGGCCACGAGACTAGGGTACGGTTCGCGAGAAGTTCCAGCTGCCCGAGGACATCACACGTGCATGATCGTATGGTGGCTTCCAGGAGAATCGATTGGCTATCGCCACGCAAGTTTCGATCCTCGAGCGAAGGTGAGTACACAACATCTGATGCCAGGCTTTGGACGCGTGTGCTGGGTGCAGTTTCCAATGGTGGAAATTTCTACGGCCGAGGTCTTGCGACAGATTGACGTTCACGTACCACACGTTGGAGGTCCTCAACAGATGCCCGACTTTCCAGCACCACGCGGTCAAGTACGGCCTCGCGATCCGCATGGCGTGGAAGAACGACCAGATCGATGGCGTCGCTGGCCCGCACCAGAGGCCACCAGCGACGAGGAGTCAGAGGCATCTGAGCCTCAGGCTCAAGGGGTGGCTCATCCCCGAGATGCGGAGGCGGACCCCGAACTGCTAAGACCTACGTGGCGACCATTTCAACAGCCGTATCGGATAGAGCCAGACGCCAACTCAGATGTGCAGGACCTGTGGCTGGAACCCTGGGATCCCGGATGGATGCGACACGTGAGGACAGAGTTCAGCTTCTTTCACGCTATCCTTGACAGCCAATCACCGCCGGACGCTGAGTACTGGTTGGATTCTCGAGTGTTGGAAGCTGTTGAGGTGGCTACTTATCTTGAGAATACAGAGAGGGAGATGCAAGTTCTGGAGGTGGAGTTCGAATCAGAGATTTCCAGGCTTGTGATCATGACCACCGATGCGCACGACTTGCCCAAGTCTGAGATCTTCTCTCTCTTTGCGAACGACGAGGGCCATCGCGTTATTCTGTCCGTCAACTCGACGGGGAAGACCAATATGGTTATTGAACGAGAGGCTGACGAACTCAACAAGGATGACCTGATCAAGCATCGAGTGGAGGTGGAAAAGGCTATATCGAAGGAGCTAGGCAACTGGATTGAGTTGGGCGCGCTCAAGCAACGAAGCAGGCTAGGGTGCACCAACTTGATGGACTCTCGATGGGTTATCCGTTCAAGGGCTTCAAAGATCTACAGCAGGATCGTTTGGATACCTTCAGTGCGACCGCCTCGAGGCAAAGCCAGAGGATAGTGAATTTCATCGCGGCAAGTCGCCCCAAGTGGGTGTTGTGGTCGTGTGACGTTGGCAGCGCATTTCTGAAGGGACTTACATTTCAAGATGTGGCAGATATGACAGGGGAGCCCCTCAGAACTATTCAGTTGGACCTGCCCAAGGACACAGTAAACATCGCAAGGCAGTTTGAACCATTATCCAACTATGATGTGAGTCGGCACTGCTTGGAGATGGTACGTCCAGGTTTCGGTCTCAAAGATGCGCCAAGGTTATGGAATCTCAGGCTAAAGCAAGTAATGGCGAAGCTTCAACTATTGCCGTTGGTGACCGATTCCCAATTTTACTGCAAATGGGCTGGCTCTCGATGTGAACCTGTTCCTCGTGAGCTAGTACCCGTGAACGCGGACAAGGACAAGGCCCGAGGCACAGACGTGTCATTCACCGACCCGGAGATAGCGATCGAGGACTTGCAGATGGTGTGCAGTACACACGTGGACGACCTCAAGGGCGCCTCGACCGAACCGATTGCTGACGCCTTTATGGATGCTCTCGAGTCGGAGTTCGGAAAACTCACAAGGCAGAAGAGAAGGTTCGAGCACTGTGGCGTTGTTCATGATCAGCATGAAGACGGATCGGTGTGGTGCTCTCAGGATCACTACGCGGCTCAACTTCGGCCGATGCAGGTAGACAAGATTCGGGCTGGTGAAGAAGCCCTCGATTCCCAAGACCGAACTTCATTTTGGTCACTCTTGGGTGGAGCAGCCTGGATGTTAGTCACGCGAGCAGATGTTGCAGTCCATATTGGATACCTACAACGACACGCTCATGAACCTTGCTGGAAACATGTTCGACACTTGAACTCAGTTGTACGCTGGATCAAGAGAAAGAAGAGTTCGCTTGTTTATTATTCAGTACCTCTACCATGGAGTGTTGTGGGTTTCCCCGACAGTGCTTTCCGGGCGACCGAGCCGGACTGCCTAGCTGTGAGAGCGGCAGTTATCGCGATTGCTGGTCGGGACTTCATGCCAAAAGGGGGACTATGTGCAGCAGTGGAGTTCTACTCACGAAAGCAACCTCGAGTATGTCGTTCTACTTTCTCGGCGGAGCTGGCAAGCGTGGATGATGGTATCAGCAATGCACTGTTGACGCAAGTGATGGTGTGTGAGATCGTTCACGGCCCTTTGACGGCGAAACAAATTCAGAGATGTATGGATACAGGAAGGCTACCAGTTGATCTGCATGTCTGCACGGACAACAGGGGCCTGTTCACGGCGCTGGGTGCGACAGAACTGAAGGCACCAGCGGAACCTCATCTTTTATATTTACTGCGCGCTCTACGCGATAGACTTGAAGCAGGTACTCTCTGTAAGCTCTGGTGGGTGGAAACTAGAGCCATGATCAGCGACGCGTTGACCAAGGGTGGACTGGCTCGAGAACCTATCTTGAAGTTGTGGGAGACGGCAGTGTTGATGATAACTGGAGATGAACCCCTGGCTCTGTGTTTGCGGGGTCCTCACAAGGATACCAGTGAGTGGGAATATCAGTGAATCGTGATCTTTGCATACTTCGATGGATTGCAGGATTTTCAGCGAAGATTGGTTGACTGTATTTGCAGGGAGAATATTTTCCCATTCTTTTGTGTCTACGCCGTGGTAGACCGTATACGTGGCTTGCTCGAGATTTAGTGTTTCTCGCTGTATTTCATTCTTCAATCACTGCTATTCTTTGTTCATGGCAGTATACATCAATATTGTCTGCTACTGTGGTATTGGCAGTAGCTTCCGAGGTGTTCTTTGTGAGTTTACTTCAGCCGTCTTTCCCCCTTTTAGCCTCTGGAGTTCCCGTGTTGTGTTCAGGGTGCTCCAACACAGAGCGTTGTATTTTTTTGTGGCTTGCCTATCAGAGGTCGGTTGCCAGTGGCGGGCCAGCCGCAAGAAATGATCTGCTGTGCTCTCAGTGCGTGTGCGCGGGATCAGCTCGTAGACTTTCGCTGCGTTTTCCCACCCCGAGTTGATGTGTAGTCGTCCTCCCGAGATAAGGGAGGGGAAGCATGAGCGCCCAGCATGTGGCGAGGTACGTAGATCGCCGCTTTGGCTCAAGCCATTCAGTGAGTAGCCTCGCCCGAGTGCGAATCCTGTTTGCGGCGGCAAGCCCCTCCTCCCCATCATTCCATATCAGATAATCCAGATTATCAGAGTCACGACGATCCTCGTGGTCCTCTCCCTCTTCGTGGCCCTCAGGGCCAACAGGGCTCTCAGGACCGGCACGCTGGGAGTGCCAGTATCACCGCTATCGGCGGACGCGCTGATAGACGACGACGGCGGCGAACCTCTGGAGGCGTTGTCCCAGGAGGAGGAGCGAGAGGAAAACAACTCCCGCCGCGGCCGAGCCGCCCAGGCAAACGTCCACGCCTATGTTCTTCGTGACCTTTGTTGGCTTGGCGCTCGAGGTGCTGGCCTTCAGCGCCGCCTGGACCTCGTCGCGCGTCGGCGGGT